TTGTACATTACTGACGCGGGCTTTGGAATGGCAATAATAAAATCGGATAGATATTATATTTTTTAGCTTAAGGGAACAAGTTAACATATGTATAAATTTCACAGGTGTGATAAGCATTGGATCCACTTACAAGAAGAACATTACTGGGTAACTTAAACAAAGAATTATAAAGTTTAAAGATTTGATCTCTTTCAGTCAGTTGGATAAGAGTCACTTGTTTAATATTTGCAGAATAGAAAGTGTGACAGGTGATTTGGAAGTTCCACATTTCTTCAAATCTATCGTGGAATATATGGACGACTAATCTATAAAATTTCACCAACTCTGTGGTTGCTGCTCCTCTTGTTCACATATTCAGTGTGGATAAGGTAGGGAATTGTTCACTAGAGGTAAGATTAATTTACCTGATATGTGTACATCCTCAGATATTTCTCATTACCGCCGAAGGTACTCGAATGGATACAGACTTAATCCTGCTTGAAAAGTTCACATCCAGCTTCTACTGAAGGATGTGGTGGTGGCGAAAACTGCCAAGATTGGTCCGACACCACTACTAACGAAGGAAAACTAATACACATGTTGCGGATAGAGGGTTTAGTGAACGTTAGGATAACTATGACGCAGCTATAAAAAAATACAACTGTGACTTTTTCACTGAACCATTATTGCCTCTTTTTCGTGTAGATATGTACTATTTCAGTCCGAATTATTTGTAATTTGATTTATATTTGTCTCCTTGCAAATAGATGCATTTATGTCGACTATCTGTATCTCACTTATTTATCATTTCACGGACATTGCGTAGTTAACGAGAATGAGAGGCAACGTAGTAATGCTTGTGTGAAATGCATAAAAGTCGTAAACTGTTATTATTTCCTAAATGCGTCATCAAGCCTTGCGTAAAGTGTTTCAGTTGCGTTTGATCCGGTCGCGCATAATATTAGTATTCACGACTGTTAAGAAAATGTTGAACATGTGTTTGTAGTGTAGTAACGAAATTTAACCTAGCAAACGTAGACTATACGTACAAGATTTGTACTGTTAGTTTTGGCACTTCAAGTTCACTTTGAAACGCATATTATATTTATCACAAATAGCCTATTATTCTTATGTTGCGTTTAGGGCCAGTCTCGAAGGAAATCATTAGGTAATAAAGCGATAACTACATTGCTCTTCATGTGTTACCATTTCGTATCAACAGGCTCTTACATGATCACATCAACTCTTAAACTTGTGTATTAGTTGACCACTTCACTCAACTGCATTGGTTATTTTGTTACCGTGAAATATTGTAACTGATAACATAGGCTTCCAGTGTGTATATCACTTGTTTACAGTCCACCAGCGGAAGCAGTTACTGTAAATGGATGAAAATACTTAATTACACCCATTTTAGTTACTTGTAATTATGACATTGTACGAATATTACGTCCGCTATGTTGAGTCACTTTTCACTCCTGCAAATAATAAGTTTTATTAATGTATAAATATCTTGTAAACGTTTTAGAAACATTTATTTCGACAAATAAATTCATAGTATCATAAATGCTCTATCATTCACAACTGTATCCTCTGCTTATGCTTAGTGAGAGCTTATAAATAAGTTGAACAATTGTGGAATTAGCGATCGTAACCTGGAAAATAAACACACTAAAAGATATGTTACAGAACGGTTACTATTGAGTAAGTTCTACAAAACAAAGTACCTCTTTGTTAAAAGGTTGTCTCTCCATTGTTATCTTATGAGTCAGTCAACTCACATTCCTTTACGGCTGTAAAATCTTGTGAGCATAATGAAATTTTCATAGCCCACATATTCAAAAGACTTCTTCATTTTTTAGGAAAATATGTTCCTTTCACCTTAATTGTTTCATATTTCTTACCGTTATTAACACTTAACAAGGGATTCTAATATTCCTGATGCACAGTAACAACCCAGTTGATGGCAACTAGATGTTCGATCGAAAATGCTAAAAACGACTACTTCCCTCCATTTTTGCAAGGTTTTTGCTTAAAGTGTGGTATTTACAATGCATTTCAGTCTAAGAAACGCCTGAAAGCAATGTAAAACAACCCGAACATAAAATCACCATAACAGTTGATTTCTGCAACCATTAGCTGATGTATGCCGCGTTCCATTGCCAATTTGAAGGCACACTGGCGGTCAAATGAGGCAGGAAAACCCATTCAAACCCATAGGGAAAGGAACACATCGTTCATTAGACAAAGATGGTCTTTTAAATTACAAAGATGTAGTTCTTACTCAGACACTTGTCTCGCTCCCCTGTATTCTGTAATCATCAACTGCCTGAAAGGCAGTACCTCACTTCCATGAAAACAAGTGAAGCGGTCTTGTTTAGACAGGGGAAAAACGAAATAATCCTGCACTTTTACTCATTGTGCCATCAGATGGAAACACAGAAGATCAAATGCGCAAAACTCACTAAATTTCTGGGTTGTTTGCATAACTTTAATCCTAGGTTGTTACAAATCAAACGGACATCATGCAGTCTACCATAAAGGATAGCTTTTTACGTTGACTTTTCCGCAGTCAGCCGAACTCACAGAAACCCTGCAAAGAGTTATAGGAATCACATCGCCTGTGTAAACTCACAACATCACTTATAGTAGTGGTATGGATCATGGAAAGCCAGACCAGGGACCTTTTAAAAGGTTTTGTTGTGAACAGTAAACATAACCATACTTAAGACAACTTCAGTGAAGGTATGACGTGCCCAGCGATGGGTATCATATCGCAAGATTGAAAATCAGGTAAATGCTCCGGATTAAATAAAAGAATGCAATATCCTCTTGGTTTATTTGTTGTACAGAAATCTACTAGATATTTAGAGCAATCCCTAAATCAACAGATAGCGGACACAAAGAAGTTTTTCTGTGATATTTACGAAAGTAATGTGTAAGCGTGATGACTGTGGTATGTTTTCTTACATTGTAGATGCGAACACAGTGAGGTGATTGTCAAATGATATTGGTGAACTGAACACGAATTATTTGACGCCGGACTTGTGCTTATCGTTACGATAATACACTTCTATCTCACTCCCAGGCTCTGTGTTTACCTGTTTTCATCACTGGTTTGTGGAGATCCAGACTCAGATTTCAGATTCAGATTTATTGGTTGAGGATAGAGGGCTTGGAGCCTATGTTAATCCTTTTCTAGTAAATTTCTGTGGTTGTCCAAATCCTCCTTGAACGAATCAGCTGAGGTTGCAGACACCACTTCTTTTGGGAGTCGGTTCCAAGAGTTTATGACTCGGTGTGAGAACCAGTACTCAACAGCAATATCATTTCTTCTTGGCTTTTGAACTCTCCTGCTATGTCCCCTAAGGTGTTCCGACCTAGTGGAAAGGAAAAAAGAGAATAGGTCAGGTCCGTGGTCATTATTTAAAATTTTAAACATTGTGATTAAATCTCCTCTCTGCCTACGGTATGACAAAGAGAAGAGATTTAAACTGTCTAGTCTTTCCTCGTGTGATAAATTAGTCATTCCGAGAACCATACGTGTTGCCCTCCTTTGAACCCTTTCTAAAATGTGTGAGTCCCCTTTTAGACAAGGGCTGGCGTCCTGGATGCAGTTTTCCAGTCTTGACCTCACCAGAGATGTAAATAGGGAGGTGAACATATCTCTGGTGATTCTAGTGAAGGCTCTACGAATTGCCCATAATGACCTGAAACTACGTGCAGCCACCGCGCGACAGTGTGCTGTAGTTTTTAAGTCGTGGCTAACTATGACACCTAAGTCCAAGTGAGTCTGAAATGATGGAAGTGTAATTCCCTCTAGTTCGTAGGAGCTCGTGCTTGCTTGTCCAATGCGTATGGTTGCACATTTTGCCACATTTATCGGGAGCATCCATTCTATGGACCACTCTGACAATTTGTTGAGGCCCTCTTGCAACGTAGACGTGTTACTGTTGCCCTTTAGCTCTCTCCAAATTTTTAAGTCATCTGCGTATAGGACCATAGGGGAGTCGGTGAGCAGAGATAACTCATTGATATACAAAATAAATAGGAGAGGTCCGAGTAGCGTGTCTTGCGGCACTCCACTGTGTACTGCTGTCCAAGAGGAGAGTTTCGAGTTGATCCTAACCCCCTGCCTCTTATCTATGAGGAATTCCCTGAGGCAGTTTAGTAAGCTGCCTTTGATACCAATACTTTCCAACTTCATGAGTAGTCTTTTGTGAGGTACTTTATCAAAGGCTTTGCTGAAGTATATGAAGACGACGTTAACAGGTCTTCTGTTGTCCCTGGACTTGACCCAGCTTTCTCTTGCAGTGAGAAGATTTGACAGGAATGAGAGGTTCCTTCGGAAGCCATGCTGTTCTCTTGATAATAAGCTTCTATTTTCTAGATATGCCATTATGCTTTTCCTGATGATTCTTTCCAGTGTCTTAATTAAAGTGCTGGTGAGACTGATAGGCCTGTAATTTGAAGGACTTTGTCTTGATCCTCCTTTGTAGATGGGGGTTACTATGGCGTCTTTCCAGTGGCGCAGTAACACTCCATTTTGGAGAGAAAGCTTGAAGATCGTAGTCAAAGGGCCGGCTATGTGTGCTGATAACTCCTTGAGAAGCCTTGGGTGAAGATTATCAGGACCCATTGATTTCCCTGCATCTAGTTTCCTTAGGCAGTTGAGCACGATGCCTTGGTTGATGTCAACGGAATCTACCCCATGTTCTTCTGATGCAGCCAGAGCTGATCCTATAGGCAGTGACGATTCCTGAATGAAGACTTGGGAGAAGTAGTTTGCCACTGCTTCTGCTTTTTCTTGATCTTCTTCGATTGTATCATTGGCAATAGTCAGGTTTGGCATACCATTGGATGTTTTATTCTTGAAGTTCATTCTTCAGGTAAATTCATCTCTGGTTCATCGGTCAAACTTCTCAAGTCATAACAACATCTTTTTTTGAAGGGGATATCGACTATTTCATACATGCCTATAGTACAAACAATGTATCTTGGACATTGAAGATTGGATACCATCTGAATTTGGCCAAGGCGGCTTTCCAAACCCTTGCATTTCTGCCATGGGCGATTCTCTCTTTCACAACTCCTCTGCTGCCCCAGATGACGAATATGATTACTTAATAAAGCTTCTGGCACTAGGTAATTTTACTGTTAGTTTTGTAGAAAAATAGAATATATGCGTATTGATTAAGATCATTCGTTGATCGTCGTATGAATTGTAATATATGTTGAAGAAACCAACCGACTACTACGATTTCTGGTCATATAATTTTCCCCCACTCAACTCTGTTCTTTGCTGGGGTTTTGTGTGAATGTCCAACAAAACCTTTCAACTAGTTAAATTGTGTAAGCTAATACCTTAAGTTCTTAAACAGAAGGCTTTGGCATTATGCAATGGCCAATTGCGCGTTGATGTTAGTTTCTTGCAAGCATACTTCAGTCGTGTGTGTGTGTGTGTGTGATTGAACTGGGATTTTTGTCAATGCTATAATCATTCACTCTTGCTAGTCTAAAGCCTCAATATCTAATCATTGTAGGCATTATTATTTTGTTAATTGATTTTGATTTTGTTTCTGACTTTTGTTTGTATTTTAAAAAATAGGCGATAGTAATGTGGGAAAAACAAGTCTGTTGTATCAGTATACGGATAATATTTTCAACCCACGATTTACAACGACAGTCGGTGTCGATTTTCGTCAGAAAAGATTAGTCCGTGAAAGTCGTGATTCTGAAGGCCTTCTTGGACCGAAACAACGTTTGCATTTACAACTATGGGATACAGCTGGACAAGAACGGTAATAATTTTAAAATAAAATCTAAAATGCATTTATTCTGATAATTATATAATCCCAGTACAGTAAGAAACAGGAATTTGCAGAAGTAATTAAGCAGCAATATTTCCTCTTGAGAAAATCCCCCTTTATCTAGCCACTTGCAGTTGAAGTATGTCAACATACATATATAACCTGGTCAAGTTTGTTCTTATCAGCAGTAGGACTGATAAACTCTCCAGAGAGTTTCAGGGTGGTTGCGGATACTATTGCCACTGCTGAATATTGTGCATTAATGATTTAACATCTGCCTTCGACTATGTACCTAGGCCTCTTTTGTTGAACGAAATTGCTGCGTCACGAGCACAATGCTGGATTACCAAGTGGTTGCACGCCTATTTTTCTGATAGGAGACAGTGCATTGTTTACAATGGGAATTCCTCCACTGCTTGCTTAACTTACTCTAGCTGGTGTTTCTCAGCGTGCTGTTTGTTAGTCCTCCCTTTTTGTATTCTTTCTTCTTACATAACTTCTCCCATTTTGATGAAGTCAGTTTTATTTAGTATGCCGATAATCTGGCTGTTTCTATGCCGGTTGTTAATTCTCAGTCAGACTGTTCCGAAATCAATAAATTTTTATTAGAAATCAGTTAGTGGTCCTTTTCAGATGATCTTAAGCTTAATACCTCCAAATGTCAGTCATGTTGTTAATTTCATTTTCAGACTCAAGTGTGACTTACATGAACTAGTTAGTTCGGAGGGTCCCACTAGCATAGATGGTACAGAAGTTGAAACTAAATCGAATGTTAAATACCTTGGAGTGTGTATTTCCTCTGATCATCTTTTCACGTCTTCCCACATCATGTTAGTTTCTAGAAAGATATTTCGTGATGAAGTTATGACGATCTGGTATCACTCACTCAGTCTCTACTGTTACCATTTGTTAATTCTTCTGTTCTACCTATCCTGTTTTACTTCTCCCCTACACCTTAATCTTTTCTGGGCTGCTTAAGAGAGACTGTTATACTGCGTGGGGCACTAAAATGGTGTCAGTAGGGTGAGTGGTGTGTTGCTAAACCAACTCGTTGACACTTTTAGATAGACACGGATTCATGCAAGAAATTAGCAAATATTATCTTGTCAGACTCTAAACGTCGTCTCCATACACATCTCTCTCCTTACCTCCATCTCATTAGTTAGAACTAGAAGCAACTATAGAAGACTGTGTACTCGGACGACTAAGTACAAAAACTCTACAATACCTTATTCGGCTGGGACACATTCTATGTGATGAGAAAGGTGTGTAAGACAGAAAATTACCAACTTGCTGAGGAACTCTTAGTAAACGGCATCGCTTTTTTGTTCGCATTATTACATTGTTGTTAATATTTTCACTTGATTTAATTTTGCATTCATTTCTTATTGAACAATATCATTAATGTAAATACCCTATTATAATTATTGCCCCTGTTATGAGAAGATTAGGTACAACATATTGTATTACCTGCAGAAAATTCCATATTTGTACCAGAAGTACATACTGTTGGGAATAGAGCTATTATTATGCCGTCCAGTGAGTGGAGTCAGAGTGAGATGTTAACCCCCTACCCTCTGTTGTCGATACAAGCATTGTATCATCCTATTGGTTTGAGAGTGATATATGCTATGCAGCGGATTCTGGGTGATTCTAGAAACTTCAACAAGTCTTTAAAAAAATTCTGACTCAAATTGAGCTCCTCTGTCAGTTCTTTTCTCTCCCTAGAATGACACGTATGACTTGTTAAGTTTATTGAAACCGATGATCTAAGATGTTAGGAAATACTGATTAAAGGTATTTGTTACGCATTGATATTCAAGCCAGATCTAAGGAATAGTTACATGCTGTTGTCAGTGATTGTGAGAAATTCTATAGAAACCGTAACAAAATATACAAAGTTACCGAGTTATTTAAAAAGTCGATTTTCCCACTCTTATCGTTCGACTAACATCGAGTTATTTAGTTATTCAAAATTTCTGTTTTATGTGCGCCAAACTATCAGTCATGGAATTGCCTCCATAAACGACGTGATATTACCGAGGGTGAGTAAGTAGACTTCTGTCTTCCTGTCGAAATACTGTCATGTGGCCACCCGTTCATAGCCCATGCCAGGTAAGTCCTATTTCACTGCTTTCAAACAGCGGTGTTGCTCACAACAATGAGAAGGCGAATCGGGAGGTTTGGCACTTACCACCAGACTGATGGTGGATATGTTGGGTCACCTATTGTGGAGATCTGGAAGAACATGGTTACAAACCTATGTTGTACATGGGCTTCAAAACCCGAACGGATCGTATAGTCTGTGTGAACCTGAAACCATAGGAACGCTGCTCCACTGTCTTGTGTATCAGGTCAAAGGCTGCGAGGTGGGGGCAGTGTCTCAGCCTTCGCACGAACAATGCAATTTTGTGTGGTTCATCTCTTGGTGCACATAATATAGAGTTTATGTTTTGATTGCAATAATATTCACTAACTCAGTTGCTTATTTAAAAGTAGACGAGTATAAACTTTCGATCGTGTTATCTAGGATGTTTTATTCATATTCCAGTCAAATTTGAATTCCACTATATCTCTTGAAGAGTTTTGTAATCTGCTCGCTTTTTTCTTGACGAAACAAATCCAACTGGTGTTCACAGAATCACTTTTTCTCAAGCGTTTTACTCAAAAATCGTGCGATACCATTCAAATAGGCACGACTCAGCTTCGGTTCACACATACTCTGCATGAAAAGCATTGATGTCAAGGAGTATCACTGTTCACTTGTAGAACAGCACTGATTTTGATGTCTAGCATGGTAATAAGACGTTTTACAACCAACTGAGTTCGATATATTTTGGGTTTTAATGTTTCAAAAAAGGAGAAATTAAGTAGCATATTTTAGCTTAACTTTTATATAACTACTGTTATTATTATGATTATTATTTCAGATATCGAAGTTTATGCACAGTGTTTCTACGTGATGCAATGGGTTTTCTGCTTGTATTCGATTTGACGAATGAAAATAGTCTACAGAATTGTCGTGAATGGATGAATCTGCTGTGTCAACATGCATATTGTGATCGTCCTGATGTTGTGTTAGTTGGAAATAAATTTGACCTGACATCGGAACGTCAAGTGTCTATGTCTGCAGCGAATGCAATGGCTCGTGAACTTGAGTAAGTTTCCTTTTATTTTTATTTCATCGTATTTAGTTCTCTATAGGGTTGTAATTTTCAGCAGTTAACTTCTTTTTCAAGAGTGTTAATTTGTAGGGATGTGATTTGATTTTCTCAAGTTCGGTTATGGATTAATGTCATTGAATGAAAACCACGGAAAAGTAGATAGATGTTTCGTCTTAGGCTCGAACCCATGGCCTTCAGGTTACAAGGCAAAGCTGGTTATCGTTCAGCCACTTCTGCGAGTGTTTGGTTCTTCTAAATTACTCTTCGGGTCTGGCGAATTTGACGACTAAGCAACACCAGTCGTTCCGGCATCGTCCATTGTATCTCGTTAATCATATTTATGCTCGGTCACTCCATAACCAAAATAGACTAAAAAGAACGAAGCAACAAAAAGCAGAAATGTGCGGGAGAAAAGAAGAATAGTAACATGGAGAAACAACAGGGTTTTAATAGATATGGCAGATCACAGAGACTGAATGCATCTGCGCCTTTTGGAATGATTTTGAGCCATATCAATAATTGTCTCCAGCCATTGGTTCTAAGATCCCTGAAGACTCCAACCAGGCAGTCTGCCTCTTCTTACGTGGTTCAAAACTCACAGAACAACGTATATGTGGTTGTTAATTTATTCATGGATAATCCCCATCCAGGCATCAATGAAAACAAATAGTCTCTTTTCGGCGAATTCATTTTTTTAGCTGTACAATCACAAATATATGTGTGTTATTTTGTTTGTCTGTGTACATTAAGTTTGTCAAACAAAATAAAATTGGTTATAGTTATTTTAACTAGACAAGTGAAGATTAGTAATTCGAGTTACGTAATACAAAGTCAGTCAAGAAAAATAGGTGTTAATGAAAATAAGGCAGTAACAAAGGTGATGAGTTGTCACAAACAGTTGTTAAAAAAGAAGTTATGTAATAATATGAATAGTTTGATGAGTGAGTTTCACTCAGGATGCACATAGGAACAAAGTAGATAATACGAAATTACGTAAGAGTTCTAAATGAAGACATTGTTTATTATCTACTTTGTTTCAATGTGCATCCTGAGTAAAACTCACTCATCAAACTATTCATATTATTACATAACTTCTTTTTAACAACTGTTTGTGACAACTCATCACCTTTGTTACTGCCTTATTTTCATTAACACATATTTTTCTTGACTGACTTTGTATTACGTAACTCGAATTACTAATCTTCACTTGTCTAGTTAAAATAACTATAACCAATTGTCTATTTTTGTTTGACAAACTTAATGTACACATACAAACAAAATAACACATATATTAGTGGTTGTACAGCTAAGTGTGAATGAATTCGCCGCCGAAAAGAGACTCTTCGCTGATCTACCTGTAAATTTATTGTCAAGATGGAAACAATTAGTGATATGGCTAAAAATCCTCGTTCTCAATGGTTGGCGCAGATGCATTCATTCTTTGTAATTTATAATATCCAAAAAATTCTATTGTTCTTCTATGTTACTATTCTTTTAGCGTCATATTTCTGATCAATATCTGTCTTCCGAACCTCACTTTACTGCCTGCTCTTGCTTTGTGCGCTACCTGGCGGGAGTGTGGCAAGTCTGAACTGCTGCACATCTGTACAAAGTAGTTCTACGACGTTGAAACCAGTCAGTCAGTGCCTAGATGGACAGTTCATCTTCCACCCTAGAAACTAGTGCTGTAAGAAGAATTACAGAAGCAACAAAAGGTACTGATGAATGCAGGATTTAATGAATTCATCGAATTTCTGTAGAACTCCTGTTCAGCTGGATACTCTGCTTACAGGGATATAAAATTAAGATAAAGTGCATTACTGTTAAATTACACATCAATTAAATAAACAATGTTATCAGTGAGTGAAGGGACTTGAATATATCAAGAATTGCCAAGCAAATAATATTGATGGTAATGATAATAATAATAGTAATGCCAATAATAGTAACAACAATAATAATGATCGTGTTGAAACGAGTCAAGATAAGGGTAGAGATAAAAGATAGTCTTAAATGAATCAGAAATAGTAATAATAAGAGGTAGAATAAAATATCAATAATAACAGTTAATAAGTAAGACATATTACCACGGTAGTTGAGAGTGACCATCATTTCCTTTTGTACACAGACAGACCATCTGGTTTATAAACCCTAATTTCACAAGCCTTGGCAATCGCAAGCATCTTCCTGTTTGTTAGTCTGCTGAATGGCAACAGTGAATGACTTGACAGCAGGTTAATATCATTTCCGTGGTCCACAAGATGCCTTGTTCCTGAACATTTTGGCACTTTGTCTTCATCTGTGTTTCAACCACTTTTGCAAATGGTCAGCATCATGCGAGTAGACAATCGTCTTTGTGTACAACGTATAGGTATTTGCTTCAACAAACACACTCAAATTGATGTAAACTTAGCAGTTTGAAGTGTGGAGGATTGGCGAATATTCTTTCCCAGGCTGTTGAAGCACATCCACTTGGTGGTGGTGTTCAAAGGTGGAACACGAGTTTTGCACTATAATAATTTCAAAATTTCAATTTACATAATGTCTCTTCCCATATCTCCATTACTAAGATGATAAAGCAAATATCAAATTTAGGTTCTGATTTATTTTGTGTGTTTATGTGTGTTTCGGGATTCCATAATTTAGGGCAGTAATTCTTCTTATCTGTCGACTTTTCTTTTCTTTAATGCACTTGAATGGTTATGTAGCTTGGAAAAAGTTAAAGGCGTCTAGGATGGGAAAAGCAAGACGACGCATCTTCATTACTCTGAAATAAATCAGTTTGGAAATCTACTGTACACCACACCACGGCACATAAAAACACAAGAGCAGAATCTTCAACGCTAATGTTTCATATCAGATGACTCTCGCATCGCAGAAATTATTTCCAGCTGACTGTTGCAGACTTTCGTTAACAGTTGTATTCACCAGCTCCTTATTGAAGATCAGATGTCCAGGAAAGATAATTAACAAGGAACCTTCTAGTAGGCAACAAACCAACCAAAGGACCTAATGCGCAATAAATATGCATAGGGAAATGGATGGAGATGGATTGAACATTGTGCACTAGGGAGAGACTGCTGAGTGACATCACTTTGTCAGACAGATCGTCTAGTGGAACCCGGCTGGGAAACGACTAGTTGGGTGTGTGTGACTCCAACGGTGACTTGGAGGAGTTTGTGTGAGAAGGAAATGAAAGCTAGTGGGCGATTGTAGAGCCAGTTAAGAAGGACTGCACGGGACAGGGTGGAGTAGACAGGTGCTCTGTTGAAGCCTTATGTTCTACTCGAAAACTAAGGGTAGTTCAGTTGTCCTGTCAACAGCTAACCAGTCTTTTCATGTCTTCCAATTTCAATGGGTAGGTCTCACAGCCATAAAGGAGGACGGCTATGAGACCTGACCATTGAAAAGAGGTAGCTAGCTGTCTTTGATCACAGCTGTCTGTGCTCTATCTCCCTTGTGAAGTGGTATAATAGGGTGAGCAGTATTGAGGTTAGGAGTAGAGTGCTAGGTAGGTGGGAGGGGAAATCAATCGACGAGGCTCTGAAGTTACATCGATCGAGAGAGATGGTTAGGATTTGTGTTACACATGCATGCCTAGCCATCGCTCTCCTCGACAACTGGCAATGTTAGCTGACTTACGATGGATTAGGTTGGAAAAGAGTTATCTAGTGGTGGTCAAACCAAAATATGGCATCATCAGTTTAAGGCACGTAGCAAGGTGTAAACTTCCTGAGTGGTTAGGGTTCTAGGGAATGTGAAAACCAATAAAGGCTTGGGACAATTGGTGATATGGCTCGAAATCGTTCTCAATGGCTAACGCAGATGCATCCATTCCTTGTCACTTATAATATCCAATAAAACCATATTGTTTTTCTGTATTACTACTCTTTTTGACTCATATCTCCTCTGTTTACTGCGTGTTTTGCATTTCTTTTTACTTTCTTCTCTTACTCTGTGTGCTGAGTGAAGTGTGGCGACTCGAACTGCTGCGCATCGGAGAAAAGTTCTATGTTTAAACTATTCAGTCAGTCTGTCTGCCAACAGCACTTAGGGTTAGATTTGGGGGATATCCGAATAAAAAGTTGTGTATTAGCGTTCATAGATTTCTGTATCACTACTCATGGGGTATAAATTCTAAGCTGCTCACACATCCTTTTATTGGAAATCGCCTGACTGAGATATAATTGCACTTAGTTTGTCCTTTTCCCGTCTAACTTTGTGTGCTATTTGGAACGTGGCAACTCGAACTGCTGCACTTCGGTGCCAAGTTCTATGTTGAATCCAGACAGACAGACAGACAGTTTGTGCATAAATGTATATTACTCTGGAATACATTTAACTCTTGGGATTCGAACCCTGGGACTTGTTGGCTAACACTCGAGTGGTCGGACGAGTCAGCCACTTCTTCCTTTTCAACCTGTCAAATGACGAAAGTGCCTTTGGTCGTATTAATAGTAGTAATAATAGCTTTAGCCACAGTGATAACAATTCTACTAATAATAGAAAATCGTTGTCAGTTGTGCATAGTCGGTAAGAAAGATCACCTTTAGAAACCTGGTGATTACTTTTTGTTTTCAAAAGGTGACTACCTCAAACAATTATGTGTATCAGAGCTTTGAAACATTGCCTACTACGTTTGTTTAAGGGAATATCTTGAAATTTACTAGACCAAAACTACCCTCTTAAAAACTTAGCTTTACTCTGTAAATCTCTTTATTATACATCATAGTTTGTGTTCATTCTTTGAGTCCCGAGGGGGGCATAGAGCAGCTTCAGGCTTGACGTCTTATTAGCCGTGTTGTTTTTATTTGGTAGTGGTAGGATTACTAACCTCACACCCAATCTCCCCTCTTGTCAAAGTTGACTACTGGCTGCTAAACTAGGCGAGGTTTAGGAGAGAGTACGTTGGTCGAGGATTGAGCCGCAGAACATGCATAATTGGCGAGTTCTCTAGCACTTTCTACAAGTGTAAATTAGGAATACTGGTGAATACTTAAGCTATTTCATTGCTGTGTATAACTGTCTGTTTGTATTGATCTCGAGATGATAAATCATCCCTATTGGACGACTATCCAACCATTGGTTTGTAGTGTAGGTGCTCAACTTCATTCCTGATTATGTTATTACATCAAGTGAAGTCACTTTGTTATTTATTTATTTATAAAACAAAATTGGTACATTGTGGGAACCAAGAGATGCGCCACACAAATAATAAAGAGCGTCGGTGGCATAGCGGTTAGGATGCTCGCCGACCATGCACATGGTCCGGGGTTCGATCCCCGGCCGACGCACTCCTTTACCTCGCTAAACCAGTGGAAAGGTTGGGCATGAGGTTAGCAACCCCATCCTGTAAAATAAACACTGCCACAGAAACTTCAAGCCACTAGCTCGAAGCCCTGTGTTCCACTGGGGAACGTGAAGGAAAAAAAAGTATGTAAAGAAAATAGGCAGAGAATGAATGAGGGACGTCATCTAGAAAACAAGCAAGCATTACTAGTCAAGATAATTGAACATTCACCGCTTCATGTTACTTTCACAAAAGGAAGAAAGGAGCAAATTGCTGCATGTTTGCCATTGATAACTGTGATTCTTGGCCATATATGATAACGTCTCAAGCCACCGATTCGAACTTATCTCACGGACCCATCCAGAGTCATAATGTACCAACCATTGCCAACCTAACACAAACATCCCTCATCCCACAGTTCGACACCATCGGCTGACGCCCTTTCCGCTTTTGCCTCAGGGATGACATTCGTAGCACATGTGCAAGGCACTGAAGCTGACGTTTCATGATGACTACTTCCAATGACTGGTGACCTCTGCCGTGTCGAAACATAGACTGACGAACCTTAAAATCGCCTACACGATGATGCTGTCGGATGCAAGCAGTTCTACGGAGGCAGTGATGATCGAAGATGATCAATTTCCACAGGCGTAAAGCAAGACCTCACACACCGGAAGCATTGTAAACCCGACCTTTGACAGCCTAGCTAACGTGGTGAAGCGTCAGAGGTGGCTGGCGTATGCGCCAGCCTAGCTTTTACTATACGACTAGGAATTTCATCCCTCACACCTCCGCCGGCACTCATACAGCTATCTAGATACACGGACTTGTCGGCAACTTCTAGCGGTTTACCTTCAGGGGCGAGTACAAGCACGGGCTCTTGCCAATCCTATAACAGTAATTTGCACTTGGATGGCGCAAAGCACATACCAGACTCACAGACACTGACTGTCAGCTGACTAAGGGCGATTTGGGCAGCCTGCATGCTATTATCATCTTATGAGTAAAGTCAAATAATAGTGTATAAGTATGATTGTAGCAACAGAAGACAAGGGCCAGGCAACGGAACGTTTATTACGGAAAATCAACACGTATTTATAGATTTTTATGTACATTATTGTAGGTTAATGTCAGTAGAAAATACAGTCTTTTGATTGGTTGTTTCTCACACAAAGTTAACCTTGCATCTTTTGTGGCTGTGTCACTTCATCTATATGTTAACTGTATCCGCCTGTCCATCTTGACCTTTGACCTCAATTACTGTCAACCAATTGGCTAGTAGACAGCTCTCACCACATTATTACCTATTTACCTTAATAATTATCACATTCGTAACTGTTTTTTTTAAAAACTCTTCCCTTTATTTTAGTGTACCTTACATTGAGACAAGTGCAGCTACTGGCTATCAAGTGACAGCTGCTGTTGATCGCCTACTGGATTTAGTCATGACTAGAATTGAAGCCTCAGTAACCAAAGCACGTATCCATGGGAATACAGAAGGTACAGCCAATTTAAAAAAGTCTTCATCGTCCAAATCGAATTGCGCTTGTTAGTTTATCTTGTCTTCTTTGTGTATGTTTCTGTGTATGTGATTAGGTAAGTAAAAGTAGTTGGATATTTTATTATTTTAATATCGTTATATGATTATGCGTATAACTATAATAGTAATTTTATCCTCTATTTCTTTTGTGTGTGTGTACACTTCGCGTAAAACAAAATACGGGAGGAAGGGGGTGTGGGATCTGTCGAAACACCACTTCAGAGGGACATAGTAGCAGGAGAATTCAAAAGCCAAAGAGAAACTATGTCGCTCGCTGTGTTGAAGTACTAGTTCTCGCACTGAGTAGTGAGTGATCAACTCCTGAAACCGACTCCCAGATTAAGTGGTATATTATTATTATTGTTCCCTTGGGTTCCTAGTGGTACATAGGGCTTCAACTACACGTCTCCACTTGCTTCTGTCTTCTGCTGTACTTTTCACCTGCGTCCATGTTAATCCATACTGTTTCAGCTCCTCTTCACACGATCTCCTCCATGTCACCCTTGGACGTCCCACTCGCCGCTACCCTTTCGGGTTCCATTCGAGGGTGATGTCACCCAGTGGCTTCCTCAGCGAGTGTTCAATCCATCTCCACTTTCTCCTGCATATTTGTTGGGCGATTGGTTCTTGTTTTGTTTGTTCCTATAGTTTCTTGTTTGTGATTCTTTCCGGCCATCTTATCTTCAGTATAGAACGAAGACAGTTGTTGATAAAGGTCTGCAACAGGCTGTTGGAAATATTCTTTGTGATCCGCCAAGTTTCTGATCCGTATAGAAGAACTGACTGACTTGACGTTTGTATTGAAAATCCGAATTTTGTTGTTGACGCAAGCTGAGTGACGAAGATTTCCAGATTGGTTTCAGGTTGATGAATGTGTTTCTCACCTTCCCGATTCTCGATTTGACATCTTCGTCCGTTCCTCCTGTAGTTGAGACAATGCTCCCTAGATAAGTGAATGAAGTGACCTCTTTCAAATCCCTCCCGTTGATGGTGATTGGTGCTGGATGTTGCTTCTGCTGTTGTTGTAGTTGGTTGGTTATTTTGATAACCTCCGTCTTGTCTATGTTCACCTGGAGTCCTGTCTTCTCTGGCTGCTTCTTCGACCAGTTTGTCGGTTTTCGCTTGTTAGTCTTCGATTTTGTGTTACATCAAACATAAATCATCCACGCGCGAAATCCAGGTCTTCTAGGTTCTTCACTTCGGTGGTGCAGGATATCCCTGTCTTCTCGTTTCCCACTGTCTGACGCATAATCCAGTCCACCACAATTAGGAATATCATTGGTGATAATAAGCACCCTTGTCTGACTCCTGTGTTTACTTTAAACGCCTCACTGAGTTTTCCGTTGTGGATCACTTGGCATGTGCCGTTGTCGTACAGCTGTTGAATAAGGCTGATGAATATTTGGGGTACGCCGTTGTACCCGAAAGTGGTATAAGCGCCCTCAATTAACTCATTCAAAGAGGGTTTGGCGAAGCACAGGAATTTGCTGGAAGACGATTAACAAATCTGAAATCTGATATTAGGCGTGTATGGAGTCACACTCATTGCGTCGGCAAATTTGACTGAGACTGCAGACTGAGTGACTGACTAACTGAATTTGGCATATATGTGAGAGGAAGAATAGTCACATAGAAAAAAGTATGAGGGTCTAATTGGTCTGGGAGATTACAAAGGCTGAATGTATCTCTGCATCATTGGGAATGGTTTCGAGCCATATTCCTAACAGTCTTCAGCCGTTGGTTCTTAGCATCCAGAAGACGCCAGTCAAGGTAGTCCACACCTCCCCACATGGCTGGCTGGCTCAAACCAACTATCACACATTTTAGTTTGACCATACCTAATTCTATGTCAGCGAACATTACTCGGAGCGGAGGGCATCCTCAATCGATGTAGCTTCACAACCTCATTCCTTTGACTTACTCTTGTCACCTAACAATCTATTCCTAATTTGAATATTACTCATCATATTTTTTTACCACTTAATACCACAGACAGACAACCCAATCGCCTATAAAATCAGAGAGAGAAATTGCAGAAATCCATTGGAATTCAGCTGTAGGTTACAGAACGCAAAGTTTAGTGAATAATGTTGAGGTGAAGTAAGGTGAGATGAGGTGTAGAGCGTTGTTTAAGCAGAGTGAGCCAATTAATGACATTGTGAAGCTAAATCGCGGTTGACATGTATTATACACATGTTGAGCCACTCACCCACCATCTTCCTCATCGAGTTAGTGTCAACTAATTTATGGTTAGGTTAGAAAAGTAAGGGGGGATTGCAACATTTCATAAGTAGCTGAGTTCTACATATAGTTTTCATAAGTTCCACAGAAAGAGGAAACCTTACGTACATTTATATTTTCTTCATTTCTTTTGTATATTCTGAGTGGAACATTGGACTTCAAACCTTTGAAGGCTGAGTATTGATTATTTGGTTTTTACAACAGTCGGGCTGATAACCTCACTTCTATGCATCCACCCACCACCACCCACTGTTTTCGTGGGCCTACCATGCGCTAATAAATTATGCGTGATCGAAGACACTTCATCGACAGGGAATCAAACCTCAGACAACCTTTGCCCCTGCGCGAGCATTATGCCATTATCAGCCACCGACACACTGAGGCATTCATTAAGTGAAAAAACAAACAGAGGAAATCTTTAGCTGTTCATTCGATAACTTGTGTTTTTTTTTTATTAGTTTGAGCTTACCGGTTAGTATATACATATACAATCAATAGAGTAGTATTGGTTTCATCGAATAACGAAAAGTGATAATTAAATCGATATATATATATATATATATAACATTTCTCAATTTGCCTAATCATCACTCGAGTAAAAAAAGTTGTTTTTGAGTGTCATTGAAAATACGGGTTCAATTAATTAATTAATTAATTAATCAATGAGTCAATCGATAATTGGATCTTGTTAGTGAGTGCATGTCACTGCGCGTGGTACACACACTACACTACATATATCATTTTCAGTTAATCACAGTATTTTAAAATCATAGAATAAACAGTTTTAAGGGGCCATTTAGTAAACGTTGCAAGACTTATGCGAGTGACTACGTAATTAGTGTGTTGCCCAAGTGGTGCCAGCGTTCTACTTGTACTTCTCAACTATGTAGGCTTTAAGTAAAACTTGTTGTTTATAGGGAAGGGCATAACAACACCAAGACATTAATTATTTCCACTCCTAGAATACATTATTGCATGGGGTTGGGTAGGGTGATATTTCACTATAAACTAGGCGTTATCGGAGCTCATATCGTCGCAGAAGTATTATTTCACATTTGACAAGGAGCAAAATGACATGCTAAATAAATTAAGACTTTTCTCAAGGTGTTCAGCATCTTCGCCTAGAAAGACAACTATATCATCCGTGTACTATAAGTTGACGAGACCTCTCCCTTAGTAACAAGTCTATGCTTATGTGGTGCAAGTCGATTATCTCCATTTCTATTGATGGTACATGTCTGATGATATCTGAACAAAAATGGGAGCTTCCATTGGACACTAGTAACTAGTGTAACTTGTCTGGTGCTTTGTTTGGTGCTACAGTCCTACAGGAAGCCAGTCGCGAACCCAAATAGCTCATGGGTGGTAACGTCTCTGACTGCAGCACTGGGTGGTGGGTGACGCAGGTTCGAATCTCAGAAAGGACACGAGTTCCTTCAAGGTTGCAGATATGCCTTGCTAACTGACTGGTGAGTGCCAACTAGCACGAAACCTAGGTCAGACAAGGCTTCCTGCCGATTGCTTCCAATCATCTATCATCGAAAATAGGAGCACTTAGCGGCATTTTTGATGTACATCGGTGGATGTCATCAACTCAGATGATATCTCTCCGTAAGCTCTGCTTGTATTCGAGTGAAGTACTTTGACTAGTGCGATTTAAATTCTCGACAATACTCTTTACGCCCCGAAACTTACCTCTTGATCGACGGGATCACATGCCACCTTCAGGTTATAAGGAATACAACAAATGTTGGACACCTCGAAGTATGTCGTCTGCATATTATAGTTTGGTCTGTCTACTCCATGTGTTCTTACGTAGTTAAATATATCCTGTAGTATAGCGTAATGTATTCAAAGGATAGTTCAGTAACCGTGATCTCATTATTTACCGATATTCATGTGATTACAGTTGAACCGTTTTCGCTTTATTTCCACTGATTACTGCACTCAATTGCTTTTAACTCGGTTTATTTGACATACCTGAATGAATCTGTCATATTATCATTATTATTCCCTTGGTTTCCGAGTGGAACATAGGGTTTCAGCAGCACATCTCCACTCTGTTCTATTTTCTGCCGTCCCCTTGAGCTGGCCAGCTCAGCTCCACGATTGCCCATAATTTGTCATCTCCTCCTCCATGTTACCCTCTCATTGGCGACCCACTCGTCGCTTCCTATTGGGATTCCACTCGAGTGTTGGTCTGCATTGGGCGCGATGTCATTTGACGGCCGCCTCAACGGTGTACACCTTATAAATCCACCTCCATTTTCTCCTATATATTTGTTGAGCAGTCGGCTCTTGCCTGTTGGTTTGTTCCCAGACAGAGTTTGTTGTTGCTTATTCTTTTTGGCCCGCCGGTCGGCCGTTTGACCTTCCGTATGCAGTGAAGACAGCTGTTGATAAAAGTCTGTCAAATTTAATAAACGCTGCTAAATCAGTGACCTTGAAGCAGTCAATCAGATTGGCGGATCGACCAGGCCAATTTAAATGTGAAAATGGTTCACATTCATGTAATGAATAGCAAATGTGTTACAAAAAGAATAGAGTTGGCAATTTGGTTTCTGGGCGCTTCCTTTAGACTAAATTTATCCACGTTTAGCGTTGAGATTTCTCCACCTACACGCTACAAACTTGAGACAGGCAATAAAGGGTGTTAATCAAGCAGGAGTTAATGAATTCATCGAATTTCTGTAGGACCTCTACTCAGCTGGATACTCTACTTACAGGAGATATAAAATTAAGATAAAATGCATTACGGTTAAATTGCACATCACTCAAATAAACAATTAGTTATCAGTGTTTGAAGGGACTTAAATATATTAGGAGTTGCTAAGCAAATAATATTGATGATGATAGTAATACTAATAATAATAGTGTGGTGAGAGCTGGCTGCTAGCCAAAGTCGGTAGACAGTAATTGACGTCAATGTTTGTGTCCCCAATATTGGTGATGAGAAAATGAGATTAAAGGCTTTACGTAGGCGGATACAGTTAGCATATGGATGATCTGACACAGCCACAAAGAGATGCAAGGTTAACTTTCTGTGAGAAACAGCCAATCAAAAGACTGTATTTTCTACTAACAATAATCTACCATAAAGTACATGAAAATCCATAAATATGTGTTGATTT